CTTAACAAAAATATCGATATCGGATATTATCTAAAAAAGTGGTTAGCCTTTGTGCAAAATTCATAAATAGTAGTAATATTTTGAACCATCTTTTGATTCCAAATATTTACAGATCCCGATAAACTCTGGACAAAAAAAGATGAATTGGCACAAAAATCGGATAAGAAATTATATCAAAGATTTGCGAGATGGTCCTAAAAAAGAAGAAACTATTATATCTCATTTATGGCAAGAGGTTATTATTCGTGCAGAACAACTATACCCGATTCAGTGAATCAAATCCAGAGAAATCGGGAATATATTCATTGTTCTAAAAGAAATACATATTACAATTATTACCTTAATATTCTAGATCAATCTGCAAAATCTATTCAGAACTTCTTACAAAAATTTCCGAGACTAATGAGGATTTTAGAGAAGCTTTGTATAAATTAGTTACACGATCTCATAAATGTAATTTAGGTACTACAATTTTAGAACGATATATATTATCTTATAATCTGGAAATTGAGTACTTTTGAGTTGATATCTTGTAATGTATATACATTGGCCATAAACTATATTGCTTATCCTATGTATAATAAAAATAGATATATTAAATGTAAATAATACTGATGAAAAAAATCATGCCTGTTACAGAATTCTAAGATTAAATACAATTACCATTGTTTTATATAAGATGCAGATATGTTCGAAGTTTGTTTATGTGAATACCGCAACAAAATGTCTAATATAATTGTTGTAATGATTTCAATTAAATGGTTTTTAATTTCATCAAGGGTTTTATTCAAGTCGTAATTTTTTTGCTTACGTCATGTTTGACTTAATGAGGGCGAATATTTGACGCAATAGTTTTACAATTCTGGTTTGTGCAAGAATTATATATTCCAATAAAATGATTTAATAGAATCATTTACTTATTTCATGCTATTAAAAAAATAGAATTACATCAAATAATATTTTTCTTTACATCACGCAAAAAAATAATTGGGGGTCATAATGGCACACTTAGTTTGGAATTAGGAAATTGAATAAACGAGAAGCATCTGAAATTACGCTGGCAGACAAATAAAAATAATGTAACTATTTGATTTTATTTGTATTTAGTAATTTGAATTAAATTTCACCAAATTCAAATGTCTCTATTTTAGTCACGTAGAAGAATTTACAGTAGCGAATAAAACTCAATGCTGGAAAGGTTTTCAATGTTTTGATCTTTAAGATGTTGAATGATTCAAGATTTCCTTTTTGAAGCTCTGTTCCTGGGGCCTTTCCATGAATTTAAGTTAGAAAACCAGAAATATACACTATCATAAAAGATACTAAAGCTTTATCATTTGCATACTCCTGTGAATCACAAGCATCAAGGGCTTGTCCAGCAAAGTGTGTTTAAATATTCAATTATATCGTTTTCTAATTATTTCCCTTTTTTTCTTGTTAGATAAATTTTTATTATTATTTAAATGTTCTTCAATAATTTTGATTGATTTGTTTTTTAAAAAAAGTACTTCTGATTGTGCTGTAATTCTTGGGTTTCATTTGACGTATTCTTATATAGGAGTAGCTTACATATCATTAAATAGAAAACATATTTCCAAAGTGTGTATTCCTCCAAAAATTTGGTTGGATATAAGAAAATTAATATTATGACTAAACCAAGAATTAATTTAACGAATGTCAAAGAAGTATTCGATTGCTTCAGTAAGGATATATACAATTTAAATGGAAGTGACAGTAGTATGTTTGCATCCTTATCCAATTACCACACACAATAATAATAAATTTTTCAGAGGACAAGAATTTTGTTTATGAAATCTGGGATATGGGAAACCCAAGAAAAAGCAAAATTTCTTGCATCTTTTTTCCTATTATAATAAATGGCATAATTGAGAAAAAGAAAACCTTGCTAAAAAACAAAAAAGTGTTTAATGATATGGAATCTAACCTAGTGGACGAATGAGAAGCTTTACAAAAACCTTTTTTTAATTGTTACAGCAACAAAACCAAATATCAAGAATCCACCCAGTAGTCAAAGCAACTAGGAGATGAAAAGAATGCTTGCAATTAATAAATCAACAAATAGAGAATGGCTAAGGCAACAACAATTAGAACATTTAAAGGAAAGTTAAAAATGCAAAAACCCGAACTGTTAACTAAATCGAGGAAAACAATAAATTAGTATTAGTATGAATTTTATTCGACACCCTCTATATAGTATATGTAGAGCAAAATGTTGCGGCTTTAACAATTTTCTGCGTGCATAAAACTGATATAGATAATATATTAGGTTTTAATATTAATCTATCCATTTTACAATTTTGATGGCGTTTTTTTTTTATTATTATTGGAAAAATTAAATTGGATCGGGTACTACACACAAATATAAATAAGTAAATAAGTAATATAAATAAAATACTTTAAAAATAATAGAACTATTCTTCTTGGTTCTCATGGGCGTTACCTCTCACCCCCACACAATCATCTCACTATTTATTTAATGCAAAATCTTTCTCACGATAAAAAAAACAAAAAAAAAACAACAAAAAAAAAAAATAAAAAAAAATATTTTTTTTTCTTCTCCCAATAAAAACAATTTTTTAATATAATAATCATGACTAATCCTAATGGAACACACCACTATTCCAGTAGCGAACTTATAAACATGGAACACGATTATGGGGCTCACAAGTAAATTCTAATTATTTTGTTTTTTCGATAACAAATCAACAACAATAATAATAACGACAACTAAATGTAATCAATTAATGTCCATTTTATCAATTATAGTTACCATCCACTTCCAGTTGTACTTTCCAAAGGGGAGGGTGTTTATGTGTGGGATCCAGAAAATAATAAATATATGGATTTTTTAAGTGCATACTCTGCAGTAAATCAAGGACATTGTCATCCAAAAATAGTTAAAGCACTTTGTGATCAAGCTCAAAAACTTTCTTTAAGCTCAAGGGCATTTTATAATGATGTATTCGGTAGATATGCTAAATATATCACCGAGGTAAATTTTTGATTTTAGTGATCATCGACAAAAAATTCGTGTTTGCTACCTTTAATATTTTTTTTTTTTAAAATAAAATTAATGAAAATAATAATTTATTTATTTTTAGTACTTCAATTATGACATGGTTTTGCCAATGAATACAGGAGTTGAAGCGGTGGAGACAGGAATCAAACTTGCTCGTAAATGGGCATATGTCAAGAAAGGTATCCCGGAAAATAAAGCAATTATCATATCTTGCACAAACAATTTCCACGGTAGGACAATAAGCGTTATCTCCATGTCAACTGATCCTGATTCACGTCAAGGTTTTGGTCCTTTTATGCCGCTTGTTGGTCCTATTTGTCCTGCAACTGGTAAAAAAGTCGAACATAATTCAGTTAAAGATTTGGAGGATGCATTGGAAGTACATGGTAAACATGTTGCTGGATTTCTCGTAGAACCAATTCAAGGTGAAGCTGGGTAAGTATAGACTTTCTTTTTTTTTTAAAGGAAAAAATTTTTCTTCATTAATAATAAACAAAAATTTATTATTATTATATTAATAGCATAAATGTGCCGGATGAAGGTTATTTGAAAAAATGTTATGACCTTTGTAAAAAACATAATGCTTTATTTATTGCAGACGAAATTCAAACTGGGTTGGCCCGAACGGGCAAAATGATTTGTTGTGAACATGATGGAGTACGACCAGACATATTATTATTGGGTAAAGCATTATCAGGAGGGATTTATCCAGTGTCAGCTGTTTTGGCTGACAAAGAAATTATGTTGTGTATTAAACCTGGTGAACATGGATCAACATATGGTGGTAATCCATTAGGATGTGCAACAGCGATAGCAGCACTTGAGGTGATTAAAGAAGAAAATTTGGTGGAAAAGTCGGCTGTATTAGGCGAGAAATTCCGCAAAGCTTTACAAGATATCAAGTCACCATTGATTCAAACAGTGAGAGGGAAAGGTTTATTGAATGCAATAGTGATTGATGAGAAGAAATTCAATAGGACTGCATGGCAAATATGTTTATTACTCAAGTCACGAGGCTTATTGGCTAAACCAACCCATATCAATATTATTCGATTGGCACCACCACTATGTATCACTGAGGAAGAGTTGATGACTGGTGTTAATATTATTAAAAATGCATTGTTGGATATCGTCAAAATGAACGTTGATGACATTCCTGGTTATTTGGATGAGTTGAAATTAAGCAGCAGTAGCCATTAATTAATCAATTTAAATTAGTTATAATTATTTTTTCAATAAAACAATTAATTAATTTGCATATTTTTCAAACAATAATAGATTAATTGTATAAGAAATTAATTAGTTATACATTTAATCTTTTAATTGCTATTATTATATTAATATAATAATTACATTAATGATTTTTTTTAATTGATAAATAGTTTTTTATTCTTTCCTACACATATTTTAATAAATCTAATTTTTTTTTTTTTTTGCATTCATTCTAAAGGAAAAATTAAATAAATATGTTTCCACCTCCTTAATTTATTAATTTTAAACCAATTCTTTTACAAAAAGAATGAGAACAGCCTCTTGGCCATCTAATATTATAACAAAATTGTATATAGTGATCATCAATCAGCTCGAACCAATTCTTTACAAGAAAAGAAAAAATTTAAGAACACAAATGGTTTGAATAGCGATCGTTTACTTTTAATATTAAAGAGTTGAATATGGTGAAAAATGAAGTTTAAACGCGAATTTGATAATATAAAGAAAGAATTCAAATTTTGAACACAATGCTCCTTGCATGCTTAAAAGAAACACAAATTAATAAAGAATAACAATGTTGTTATAAATAAACAATGCAGTATAACAATTATTTAATTAAGCAAGTTTCCCAACACCTCACTCGGGTAGGGATTGGCAGAAGGCCATTAATGTACCACCTTGGCCCAGAAGTTTATCCTTGAAAAAGTAACCCAATTTTTTTTTTAGATATTAATATTAAAAAAAACATTTATAATTTTGAAATTACCAGTGCTGTAGAGTTATTTTTATTTTTATTAACAGATTCTATTTCTTTTTAAAAATTATTTTAAATTTTTTGCAAAACTAACACCCTTATCAATATTTTTCTTTAATTCAGGTATGGCTGCTGACAATAATTCCTTTTCATAGGGACTTACTTCACCTAATGGATAAATTTTACCGACACCTTCTGGGCTTAACTCAATATCTGACGCAAAGTAATCAATACCTTGCTCAGAAAATAAATCTGATTTAACATAAGCAGCTTCAATTATTCCTTTTTCACCCTTTACAATTGCACGCAATAATGAATCAGTGAAATGTGCTGCTGCATAGGCCATTGAAAGTGTCGCTGATCCAGTTCCTATTAAAAAGTTTTTTAATAAAACTGCATCCTTTTAAAAATAAATGTAAAAATATTTAAATGAATTCATACCAGCTTTAGCTTTAACAACTTCATCACCACCAAATTGTATTCTATGAGTTAAAGCTTTTGTCTCTTCTTCTGTGAGATTTGATCCAGTTTGAGAAATCAACGGAATAATTGTCACTCCAGAATGTCCTCCAACCACTGTGACCCTTTCATTTTTTGGATCTGTGCCTTTAATTTCTGATATAAAACGAGATGCACGAACAACATCAAGAGTTGTGACACCAAACACTCTATAAATCAATCGATTAATTAATTTTTTTTAAAAAATTAAATATTTGATTTTAAAAATATACTTTTTGGGGTTGTAAACACCATAAGCCTTGAAAATTTCTGATACAATCGGTACAGTGGAATTCACAGGATTGGAAATAATTGCCAAATGTGCTTCTGGTGCATATCTAATTAATTAAATGTGTTTACATGCAAAATTCATTTAGAAAATTTAAATTAAAGAATAAATATAATTAATCTCAAATAGCTTACTTGGCTGCAGCAGTAGCTAAATCCTGAACTATTGAAGCATTAGTCTTGATATCAATTACCAAGAAAAAATATTTTAATTATTGACATAATTATATGACTTTTTTTATGATTAAAACAGATATATTAAAATTTTACATTGAACAAATCATCACGTGTCATGTTAGGTTTACGAGGTACACCAGCAGGTATTACTATGATATTAGAACCAGAGACAGCATGTTTAAGACCATCATTTTCTGGGAGGAATCCAGAAACCTTTTAATTCGATCCAAAAAAAGCCACCCACTTTTTTTAATTCAAGAGAAAAGAAAATAAATAACTTTTGCAAACCACTGAAAATAATTGAAGCTTGAATTTAGAACATTTAAATCATCATCAATAATTTTATGACAAATTAAAAATTTTCAAATAAGAACAAATTCTTATGTTTTAACAATATCTGTGCTTCTAATAAAAAATGGTTTTTAGGTTCTGGAACATTATACATAACATTTAAAATTCGTTATACCAAAATTACTAATGAATTTTATGTTTTTAAAATTTTATAGTAACGTGAATTTAATTACAACGAGAGGTTTGATTGTATAATGTTTGCTCGGATATTTATTTGTAGATAATTAAAACGATCCTTATTCGTAATAGTAATAATAATAGTAATAGTAGTAGTATTAATATTAATATTAACACTAATTCTTCATCTATTCAAATTACTCGTTTTATTTGTTTTATTCATTTCGTTTTATTCAACTAAACTTCCAATGTGATTCGAATACTCAAATTTATAACGAATAAAACAAATAAACCTTATTCGAATAGAAACCCTAACAACGTCATACTTTTTTTCAATTCATATATAAAATTCATCATCTCCTCCAACCTTTTAAACTCTTATCGTTTCAGGTTCTAAATTACAACGCCTTTGAGTAATTAAGACTGTGCCTCCAGACAAAACTCGTTCAACCGGGACACTGGTTGCCATAATAATAAGTTTATTAGATTAGTAATTAATAAATTTAATTCTAAATAAGCGGAATGCAAAAATTAGAATGCTAGGAACTGTCTAGTAGTTTCTCCGGACGGTTCGGTTTGACTTTTAGAAACCGAAATCGAACTTTTCGGAGCTTTAATTAGAACAATTCCCAACAAAATAAAATTAAGCTCTATCAAGCTATTATATAAGGTCATATTCCTCAATTTAATGTTTTTTTTTTCATTTTTCATGGTGTATTATTAGTCCTGGGATAAATAAAATATGAATTATCATTTATTTGTATGCAGTGTTGGAAATTCGTCGATCTTATGATCTGCAAAAAAAAATTTGTGCACATATGAACACAAGAAATTTTTA